GGGCTGACTCTGTTTCAATACCGATTTATTCGGGGCGCGAATAGAATACACTTTGGATGTCCCCCAACCCGTGTATGCAATTGGAACGGGACATTTCGGACATTTAGGGTGGTACAAAATCATTTCAAAATGGGATATCCGCATTTCTTTGCAAAAACCGGTCTTTTGTATCGTAATGATCAATCGTCGGATTTATTTAATTGGGCTGGCTCTGTTTCAATACCGATTTATTCGGGGCGCGAATAGAATACACTTTGAGAGTCCCTGAACCCGTGTATGCAATTGGATCGGGACATTTCGGACATTTAGGATGGTACAAAATCATTTCAAAATGGGATATCCGTATTTTCTTTGCAAAAACCGGTCTTTTGTATCGTAATTAACAATCGTTGGATTAATTTAATTGGGCTGACTCTGTTTCAATACCGATTTATTCGGGGCGCGAATAGAATACACTTTGAGAGTCCCTAAACCCGTGTATACAAGTGGAACGGGACATTTCGGACATTTAGGATGGTACAAAATCATTTCAAAATGGAACATCCGTATTTTCTTTGCAAAAACCGGTCTTTTGTATCGTAATTATCAATCGTTGGATTAATTTAATTAGGCTGACTCTGTTTCAATACCAATTTATTCGGGGCGCGAATAGAATACACTTTTGATGTCCCCCAACCCGTGTATGCAATTGGAACGGGACATTTCGGACATTTAGGAGGGTACAACATCATTTCAAAATGGGATATCCGTATTTTCGTCGTAACACGGCTGTTTTGTACGTTAATTATCAATCGTTGGATTAATTTAATTGGGCTGACTCTGTTTCAATACTGATTTATTCGGGGCGCGAATAGAATACACTTTGGATGTCCCTGAACCCGTGTATGCAATTGGAACGGGACATTTCGGACATTTAGGATGGTACAAAATCATAGCAAAATGGGATATCCGTATTTTCTATGTAAAACGGCTGTTTTGTACGTTAATTATCAATCGTTGGATTAATTTATTTAGGCTGACTCTGTTTCAATACCGATTTATTCGGGGCGCGAATAGAATACACTTTGAGAGCCCCTGAACCCGTGTATGCAATTGGATCGGGACATTTTGGACATTTAGGATGGTACAAAATCATTTCAAAATGGGATATCCGCATTTTCTTTGCAAAAACCGGTCTTTTGTATCGTAATTAACAATCGTTGGATTAATTTAATTGGGCTGACTCTGTTTCAATACCGATTGATTCGGGGCGCGAATAGAATACACTTTGGATGTCCCTCAACCCGTGTATGCAATTGGAACGGGACATTTCGGACATTTAGGATGGTACAAAATCATAGCAAAATGGGATATCCGTATTTTCTATGTAAAACGGCTGTTTTGTACGTTAATTATCAATCGTTGGATTAATTTAATTAGGCTGACTCTGTTTCAATACCGATTTATTCGGGGCGCGAATAGAATACACTTTGAGAGTCCCTGAACCCTTGTATTACAAGTGGAATGGGACATTTCGGACATTTAGGATGGTACAAAATCATTTCAAAATGGGATATCCGTATTTTCTTTGCAAAAACCGGTCTTTTGTATCGTAATTAACAATCGTTGGATTAATTTAATTGGGCTGACTCTGTTTCAATACCGATTTATTCGGGGCGCGAATAGAATACACTTTGAGAGTCCCTGAACCCGTGTATGCAATTGGATCGGGACATTTCGGACATTTAGGATGTTACAAAATCATTTCAAAATGGGATATCCGTATTTTCGTTGTAAAACGGCTGTTTTGTACGTTAATTATCAATCGTTGGATTAATTTAATTGGGCTGACTCTGTTTCAATACCGATTTATTCGGGGCGCGAATAGAATACACTTTGAGAGTCCCTGAACCCGTGTATGCAATTGGATCGGGACATTTCGGACATTTGGGATGGTACAAAATCATTTCAAAATGGGATATCCGTATTTTCTTTGCAAAAACCGGTCTTTTGTATCGTAATTAACAATCGTTGGATTAATTTACTTGGGCTGACTCTGTTTCAATACCGATTTATTCGGGGCGCAAATAGAATACACTTTGGATGTCCCTTAATCCGTGTATGCAATCGGAACGGGACATTTCGGACATTTAGGATGGTACAAAATCATTTCAAAATGGGATATCCGTATTTTCGTTGTAAAACGGCTGTTTTGTACGTTAATTATCAATCGTTGGATTAATTTAATTGGGCTGACTCTGTTTCAATACCGATTTATTCGGGGCGCGAATAGAATACACTTTGAGAGTCCGTGAACCCGTGTATGCAATTGGATCGGGACATTTCGGACATTTAGGATGGTACAAAATCATTTCAAAATGGGATATCCGTATTTTCTTTGCAAAAACCGGTCTTTTGTATCGTAATTAACAATCGTTGGATTAATTTACTTTGGCTGACTCTGTTTCAATACCGATTTATTCGGGGCGCGAATAGAATACACTTTGAGAGTCCCTGAACCCGTGTATGCAATTGGATCGGGACATTTCAGACATTTAGGATGGTACAAAATCATTTCAAAATGGGATATCCGTATTTTCTTTGCAAAAACCGGTCTTTTGTATCGTAATTAACAATCGTTTGATTAATTTAATTGGGCTGACTCTGTTTCAATACTGATTTATGCGGGGCGCAAATAGAATACACTTTGGATGTCCCTTAATCCGTGTATGCAATCGGAACGGGACATTTCGGACATTTAGGATGGTACAAAATCATTTCAAAATGGGATATCCGTATTTTCTTTACCTGCGTACGTACGTGTCATAAAGGTATCGTAGAGGGCGCTAAACAACCCTGTAGTTTGGGAAAAGAAATTGCGGCAGGGCCGTTTGAACATTAATTTTTATGAAAAAAAAGAAAGAAAAATGTGAAATGAGGCACCCCCGGGACATTTTGGCAAAAAAACAAATAGGAATTCCTGTTTAAACAGGATTCTCATGCCTGAGACCCGGTCTTTCCCGCAACGCACCACTACTTGAGTGGCAGTCTGGCGGATATAGCGCCCTCTCCTAGGCTATAAGGCAGAACCTTTATTCAGTAACGTTAAAATTCATAACATTAACATTCCCAATTCTGAAAATAAATTGCCACAGTTTTCATTACGATTTACTTTAGAGTCGAATAAACAACAGTTTCAGTTATTTAAGGTAACTTACTGTGATAAGAAGTTGAACTTTCTTTATAATTCGTTTTCTCCTAAGGATTTGCAATGGCTGTCTAGGGCCACCGTAGTGGTAATCTTCACGGCGGCGCGCCGCCGTAAAAATAGTACCTATCCGAAAATCCGGCCAGCCGAAAATCCGGCCCAATTTTCGTGCCAAGATCAGCCTGGTAGGGCAGGGTCTTAAGAAAACATCCTGCAGAAATATAATCTTTAATCAACTTGAAGGTTACAGGGAAAATATCAGACTTTATTCAGGGGATGTTTTGGTCAAACATTAACTATGAACAAAAAAGTTGGGATCATTATAAAAACCACTTCCCGCATACCGCGATAATAGGGAGTCCACCTCCGTTCGCACACGCTGCGCATGTCTATTTTTCACAGGCATCGAACACGGAATAGATCACACCACCGTCGGATTTTTTTATATTAATTTAAAAAGGAAGAGTTATACTACACAAAAGACAGGACAATTCAGGAAGGTTAGTGGGCAATCTCTATTCCGAACGAGAAACGTGATAAGTACCGCGATAATAGGGCAACCCATCCTACTAGGGCTTACTGCAACTTTTATAAAAACATGAGAAGGAAATATAAAATTAGAAGGAAAAAAAGTGAATTTGAACGTTATGAAATTCGGACTTTATTTCCCTTTTAAAAAAAAACCTCCAAAGCCTCAGGTTAGAAAAAGGAAAAAATTTGAGTGCAAAAAGTTCTAGTCTGAGATGCGAACCCGCAACCTCGCGGTGCAAAATCCTATCCTCTATCGAGTCGACTGAGCTGCCGCACTGCTCGCTAAAATGTGGGGAAACAAATAATTATATACCTGCGTGCGTATCAACAAAGTATCGTAGAGGGCGCTAAACAACGGCTGCCGTAACGATAGCCACTTCAAATGAATAAACACACAGTGACACACTAGCCCAGGTTAACGTAGGGAGGAAAGGGAGTCCACCTGGGCTAAGTGACACACCAAAAAAAAAAAGAGTAAGGCTTACATGTAGCAGCCTAGGGACTAAAGTTATCAGGTTATGGGCGATCGTGAAGTGTAGCCTAGGGCCCCTGTTTTGTTTTGATCAAATTAGAGTCCAATACGGCCTAGATTTAGCTTGAGTAACTCCAGCTGACATGCATGAGCATGTACATGTATTGTCAGCTATTCTACCTCCATGAGTTACTCAAGCTAGTGATATACTTGATTTATTTGAGTCGTGTACATGGTGGTGTAGGCCTATGTGCTATGATTTTTGTAATTTTACACAACACAACGTAAAAACCCTCGAAGTGATGAGAATGATCTTCTGTGGCGGCCTAGAATACACTCTGGAATCTGAACCAATATCAGAGTGCTCACTAGTCCGAGTAACTAGGACTCTACGGATCACTTTTGTAACATTTGGACATGGTCGGGCGATCTACTAATAATCGCCCGACCATGTCCAAATGTTAAAAAAGCGATCCGTAGAGTCCTAGTTAGGGACTAAGTGCTCGCATAAAATTCACTAGCGATTCAAAATACACCAGGTGTTGGGTACAAAATTGAAAATGTTTTCTTCAAGTCGGTAATTGTATCAGAAATAGCATCATTTGGTCTGGAAACGTAACCAGAGTATGAGCATTGCAGCCACAGCGATATTTTGTGTGCGTGGAGCCAGTATGGTAACCGGCTACCATACACGAAACACTTACCGACTTGGCACCAATTCTAGTGCCCAGATGGTTGACACCAGCAACACTCCACTGATCAGTTGACTTTTTATCTCAATGTGTATCTGGAATTTCATGTCCAACACAGGTACATGCTGCATGCCCACCATGACGACCCGGGAAGGTGTTCTGCAAGACTTTTGTGGGCCACCTAATAATGACTCTCTCATCTGGCCAGACAAAGCCTACGGCTATTGCAAGGAGCTTCTGGTCTTTGATGTCACCAGTTATGCCTTGCTTGCCGTCGCTAGTGGTCTCTACATTGGACAAATCCAGTACACGGAGCATGAGAACTTGAAGAGATCCCTTGCTGTTCGAGGAAGGCTTTCCGTGTCAGTAGTCACCAGCTTTTTGCCAGTATTAGGGGTAATTCTGAGCTTAACTCATGCCAAAAAACGACTTGCACCTGTTCAGTATCTCACAGACAGTTGTACCTTCTTTGCATGGGTTGTTCATTCTCTATACCTGGTAAAGCTTCGGAGAACAGGGACAAAACATGTGAGGGGTCACTTACCAGTCTTGCTCATGTGGCCTCTTACCTTGCTGTCTTCTGTTGTAAAGGTGGCAAGAGTTTTTCGTAACCTTGCACACAAAGACAGGGTCGAGTTGGACGAGATTGCCAGAATTGTTGCATTTGTAGAATTTGGTTTACAACTGTTGTACCTGGTGTCACTGTTGCCATCCCGAAGACACGCCCGGAAGAACTACGAGAGAAATCGAGGAAGGCCGATCTTTCCTAGCATCAATGACGATGCCACGGATGAGACCTCACCTTTGGTGGGACGACATAGACGGTCGTACACTCTAGATGAGTACGGTCTCATTTCGGATCTTGGCATCGCTGAGGAACAGGGCAGCTTCCTCTCTAAGTTGTTCTTGTGGTGGATTCAGCCCCTGATGAAACGAGGAGCTCAGGGCGAGCTGCGAAACCCTGAGGACGTGTTCCGGCTGCCCAAGTCGCTACAAACCCACCATGTGGAAAACGCATTCGGCAGGATCTTCTTCCGCGGGAACCTGGCCCAGGGAGTCACGGACTACAGCGGAGCTTACGACGCATCTCGTGGGGAAGATCCCCATATGCCAGCAGGCTCTCTCTTCACTGACGAGCCACTGCACAGCTTTATGGGAACCAGTTATAGCAGCCAGTACGATGATGAAGTGCCGTCTTACGAAGTCAGGAACCCCAAGTCTAAGTCTGCAAGACCCACCCTCCTGAGGGCACTTCTGAGAGCTTTTGGGGTTCGCTTCTTCTCTCTTGGTATTGTAAAATTCATCTGCGATATGTTGACATTCGCTGGACCGCTCTTGCTCAATGCCCTGGTGACTTTCATGGAAACCGAGAAAGAACCAGTCGTGAATGGTTGGCTGTACGCCCTGGGCCTCTTCCTCTCTTCTCTGATTGGCGCTTTCTTGTCGATCCACTACAACTACCAGATCTTTAAGATCTTGATTCGCATGCGGGCAGCCCTGGTGACCACAACTTACCGCAAGGCCCTCGTGGTGAGCTCCACAGCCGTGTCGCAGTTCACCACCGGAGAGATTGTGAACTTCATGAGCGTGGATTCGGAAAGGATCATCAACGTCTGCCGGAGCTTTCATGAGTTGTGGAGCCTCCCGGTCAAGATTGCCGTATCGCTGTTTTTCTTGCATCAGCAGCTGGGACTGGCATTTCTCACAGGTCAGTTTCCAGAAACGGTGATCAATTTAATTGTCATAGCAATCATTTCACTTTTAATAACCTTCAGCCACTGAATATGCAAACTAGCTAGACCCAAGATGTTGTGAATTCTGGACCCTCCGCATTTATTTGCCAAGATCTTCATTAATATTTACGGCCAATAATTATTGGTCCTTTAAAAAAAACCAAAAAAACAAGATACACCTGTAAAACCGAGTGAAGAACAATGTTAAGAATCTCTCAGTTCCTTCAAGAAATTGATAAATAGATTATAATAGAGTTGTATAAAGGCTTGACGAAATCAAGAAAATATCGCACACACAAATTTCAAAATTATTTAAACATGCATGATGAGCTGCATTAACCATAAGGGCAATTCCACGGTTACTCACGTTACATTTTTGATGTACTTTTGAGTTTCCTTGGGCTGTAATTACCTTACTGAAAAGGTTTAATAACTGTTATCCCCATGGTAGATAGAGTAGACCTAGACCTACCTAAGCACCAAAGATGACATCCAGAAAAATGTGTTATGTATGATAGACAAGACGCACAATATCAGTTACTCACGTTACATTTTCGTAACGTGAGTAACCGATTTTGTGCGTCTTGTTTGTCATACAACACATTTTTCTGGATGTCATCTTTGGTGCTTACAGTAGGTAGGTCTAGGTCTACTCTATCTACCATGGGGATAACAGTTATTAAACCTTTTCAGTAAGGTAATTACAGCCCAAGGAAACTCAAAAGTACATCGAAAATGTAACGTGAGTAAGCGTGGAATTGCCCATAACAGAACTCCGCTCATCAAACCCCAACGGCATGTTTTGTTGGAATCTGTCAGGAAGGGTACAGTATCCCTAAACTGACAGTCTTTTACACTTGGTTGGCATACCAGCAGAATCAAAGTCAGAAAAAAAGTGTGTGTGCAGTTTCCCATATGGTGTTGGAATTTGCCAGGATGGGTATGGCTCTAGTAAATCATGCTAGGGAGTTAGGTTTAATAAGAGTCAGCATTATTGCAGTGAATGGTGTTTATTTTGTTCTTCTGCTTATGTAGGAGTTGCCTTCACTCTGCTGTTGATTGCTATGACCAAATGGCTGACTGTCAAGATCCAGAAGTACTTTGAGGATCTGATGAAGCACAAAGATGGCAGGATAAAGGTGAGTCCACTGAGAAGCGACACATCATTTTTGCATGACCTGTGAAAACCAGTGGAGTGTCATGACCTAGCGGTTAAGAGCACCGGACTCATGCTCTGGTGTTTCAGAGGCAACAGTGGCGTGGGTTCGAGCCCGGGCCCGGACACTTGTGCCCTTAAGCAAGGCACTTAACCATTATTGCTTCATCCTTCGGATGGGACGTTAAGCCGGAGGTCCCGTGTGATGTATCAGGCTTAACGCACGTAAAAGAACTCAGTAACACTTATCGCTAAGAGAAGGGGTTTGCCCCGGTGTTTCTGGTCTCCTAGTGATACTCCCTTCCCTTGTGGATTTCCTTACGAGAAGAACCAACCAAGTACCAAGTACCAAGAAAACTCTTCACAGAATTAAGTGGTTTTTTTTAAGAATACGATGATTGAATATGGTGTTTCTGCATTAAAGCCATTTTAAGACAAATCTTGAGGAACTTGTTATATTTGGTGTTGAGGTTGTTTAAAAAAGAAAGTAACAACCAGCCTCAGAAAGCACAGATATTTTCATCTTTTACATGTGGTATTAAAACTTCAACTGATTTTAGACAGCACAGTGCATGAATGGATTTTGTTTTGAGGGCTGTTTATACAATTTGGCTCGTGACTTATCCTGCAGTTTTTGAGGACATGCAATGCCCTAAAAACTTTTGAAATTTGTTGCTTCCGTACAGTCTGCTTACACACGCGTACACACGGAACACAGTGCATCTGTGGGGATGTGAATATTAAAAGCAAATGGCACCATCAAAGGTCATGAGGACAATAATGCACTAACCATCACCACATCAGTTCTCACAGTTTCACTACTGAGGTGTAGTTAACAGAGTCATGAAATTTGTCACCACCTACATGTACATACAGGGTGAGTCAAAAAAAGTGAAATGCCATATTTCGGGACTTCTGTTTATAGTGAAGTTCTGCATGTAGCACTTCCAACATCTAGGATATGAAAGCCCAACTCATAAGCTTTCTTTTAGTACAAGAATCATTCAAATCACTCATGTACTTTTAAAGTTACAGAATTTTAAACACAACCACCGTTTCAAAGTTCTGTCCACGGATCACAAAGAAGGTGTGTGTTCTTTCAGCAAAATGAAACAATTCACACACATCCCTGTGTGATTTGTTTTTCATTTTGCTGAAAGAACACTTACCTTCTGTTGATCCGTGGACAGAACTATAATCGGTTGTTGTGTTTAAAATTCCGTAACTTCAAAAGTACACGAGTGATTTGAATGATTCTTGTACTAAAAGAAAGCTTATGAATTGGGCTTTCATATCCTAGATTTTGGAATTGCTACATGCATAACTTCACTAAAACAATGGTTCAGACATTTTGGTTTCATGTTTTTTTTACTCACCCTGTATATGTATAATTGAGAAGATTATACATCAACCAAACTGATTTCACCCTCTGCACATGAACAGGTCATGAGTGAGATCCTGTATGGCATACGCGTCATCAAGTTCTATGCCTGGGAGAAGCACTTCATGCGCAGGATCAAGGAGCTACGAGACCTGGAGCTGGGCAGTCTGAAGGGCGTCAAATACCTTGATGCTATGTGCGTGTACTTCTGGGCCACCACACCCATACTGATATCTGTGCTGTCCTTTGCCACCTACTCACTTCTAGGGAACCAGCTGACAGCTGCCAAGGTATGTGGCTCGCTCTCATACATGTGCATGAGATTTTCTCACGATGCGAACAAGCGATTTTCTGTAAGAAATGTAAGTTTGGATTTGTATAAGTCAAGAATTGTAACCAGTGCTGACTTCAGTCTTGTTAGTTGTTCAGTACACCAACTTGGAGCTCTGTTTATTATTACAGTGATTTACATAAAAGAGAATGTACAACATCTGCTTTTGCTGCAATTTTCAGAAATAAATAGATTTGGAGGATTAGTATGTTATAGAAAATATTGTTAAACTGACTTGTTTCACGTTTCGGGCTTGTAGATGCTGGAAAAACCAAGAAAACCAATCATGCTCTTGTAGTCTGGTTCCCTGACCCCACTTAAGATGAAAGAAGCAATTTATAGACATCAGGGAATTGTAAGGTCAGAGAATCCGTCTAGCAGGCTTGCACCCCTTCAATCAATGTGTAATCAATTGCAAAGAAAATGCGGAATAACTAAATATAAATAATTAGGAGCAGTTTTTTGAAATAAGCCAGTTTTCTCCAACACTGGTCGGACTACCAGCGTTGGAAAAATACAATTTTTCTTGAAAATGTCAGCACATCAGGAGCCACAATTTTACAGGATACTTTAGACTGTCATTCCCTAACATTCCAGTCAGGTATATCGTGATAATTGGATCATTTTCTTTTTTGATGTTTGCAAATGCTGTATCTTCCCTTTAACGTTGTAACCGCCTATGAATTTTGTTGACAAGTTTTGTTTCACAAGCTACGGTCAAATCTGTGCAGAATGTAATTGCCAAACTGTCCTTGAGCGAAATAATTTGACTCCATTGCTTTTTGCCTTTCAACCTTTAACAGGTCAGACATGAGTGTAGTCTTGATTCCCTTGTTAGGCTTTGATCTGTGCTCCATACTGACTAGTCTTGGGTCGAGACATTGTATATTAAGAGCACGATCACCCCCCGAAAGAGGGTGTTATCAAAAGAAAATCGCTGTCACGAACTGCTGTCACAAACTGCTAACGTTTTTGGAATCTTGTAGCAGTTGTGTCATACACGCACTCACGTATGCAGTGTAGTTTCAACACCTTGCATATTAGCCCCGAACCAATCTCTGAAATTTCAGCCAGTACCATACAGGATGCAGCCAGATTTTTGTGCAACTTCATGGAAGCCCTATTGCCGGATGTAGTACGCGTGCGAACTAAAGTGACCGTACATTTTTAAGGGTTAAATTGAACAAGATTTCCAAGACGTTATAATAGCGGTACATGGGAGATACTGATTCATTGAGATAACGCCCTCTAGCGGCAGGTGATTGCACTATCAGATGTACAACAACGGTGCCGTGACCCAGAAATACACACTTACCTGAGATGGTGTCTGAAAGGTGTAGCGGCACGATGATCGGAGTTACTGTTACAAAACACTGAAGACATGACCTCATTTTTCCCAATCTAGATTTTCACCAGCTTGGCCCTATTCAACATGCTGATTGGTCCCCTGAACAGTTTTCCCTGGGTTCTGAACGCTGTCATCCAGGCATGGGTGTCTCTCAAAAGGGTCAAGGGTTACCTGGAGCTACAGGAACTGGATCCCTCAAGCTACTACAACCCAGGTAGCCACCATGACCACCCCAATTCACCTTTAACCCTAACCCCCTAGGCTCTTTTTGCTAAGAACCATCCTCAATCCTCCAAAATCCTCCAAAATTTTGCAACTCCGCCTAAATTTTTCAAAATTGTCAGACAGTCCTGCCTCAAAATGCGTTCATCGTCAATCCTCCAAAATCCTCCTCATCCCAAAATGTTTCACTCGTGTTTAAATGAAGGATAACCAACGCCAAATCCTTCAAAATCATAAGACAGTCCTGCCTCAAAAAGCATTCATCCTCAATCCTCCAAAATCCTCATGTGCTTCAATCACCATTCATCCTCAATTCTCCAGAATCCTCATTTGATTCAATCACCATTCATCCTCAATCCTCTAGAAACCTCCAAAACCGCCAGGAGGATTTTGGAGGAGTGAGGTGGGGTTAGGGTTAAAGCCACTTGTAATTTGCCTCTAGCAAGTTGGCAAATTGCATTTAAGAACGAGCTGGTCCAGAACTGTTGATTCGTCTGTCTCTTTTTGCTTGAATGTGTGTGTGCTACAAAAAGGCATTAGATATTTAGCCGGATCCGACTTTACTTATTTAAAGTGAATGATATTAAGCCGGAACGGCACTGAACGTGTGCAGTGACTATTTTTTTTTTGACTTAGAAATTTTTACTATGACAAATAGTCTGGTTCCTGCCAACATTGTCCTTGTGACTTCTCATCCACGAAATGGGAATCAGACTATTTACAATTTCGGATTGTATTTCCCGTTGAAAAAAAATCCTCCAAAGCCACAGATCAGAAAAAGGAAGTGTACATTTTGTAATACTTTAAAAATTAATGTAGGAGTCAATTTAAAATACTTAAAGACTTTGCGTACATGTATATCAGTTTTTGCGGAACCTGGGATGGCGCGCTCACATATCAGACGCGCCATCCATTCTGCCGCACTTGCTGCTCGAACGATGGTGGTAATTTAATGGTTTTAATGTAGGCCAACTCGTCTATGCATCAAAGAGAGCGCTGTTAGATCTCTCCAACTCAATATCGTTTACTAAAAGAAAGCCGGATCCAGCAATATATCCACTGTCTTACAAAAAAGATTCCTTGAATGCACCAAATGAGTAAAGAAACTTGCTAATATGTGAGTCTCTAACAGATTGGTTGATGCTCTTTTTCTCTACCGATTCATTTCTTTAATGTGATGCATTATAAAATAATCATATGACATGTAGTGAAAATGGAGTATGTATATATTTTTGTATATTGCTCATGTTCTCTAAATTTAAAGCTGAATGTCTTTGAAAGGACAAGCTTCTCATTAAAGATCAATATCTGAAATATCCAGAAGGCACAATGGACCCCAACTCCTACCTTGAGATCAAGCATGGCGGTTTCCAGTGGGACCATCCAAGGAAGACAGAAAGCACCCCCGAGAAAGACGATTCAAAGACTAAGGCTAGCAAACCCAGTGGAAACGACGCAGAAGGGATGGAGCAGGAGGAGGAGGAGGATGGGGCTGGTACCCTAAAACTGTCCAATTTGAATCTACGTGTTGGCAGGGTAGGTATACTGACTAATGTCAGATGTACATGTACTGCATGAATTAGGAACGTTTCAGGCATATTAGCAAATCAGAATCTAGTCTGACCACCTCAACTATCTCAAATATTGAGTTAGAGACCAGCAAACTCCTCATAGCAGCTTCTTGACTTGCTGAACTTTGCACGTGTGTGCGAACATATGGAGCAGTCACGAAGCATCATCTATGAAGTTCATTGAAATGTTTGAATACTGTGCATTTGTCGGATCCACAGGGCCAGTTAGTCGGTGTCATAGGATGTGTGGGATCCGGAAAGAGCTCTCTCTTGTCTGCGATCACTGCCGAGATGACCAAAACGGGTGGGTCTATTGGCATGACGGATCTCATCGGTGGCTTTGGTCTGTCCCCCCAGGAAGCCTGGGTGCAGCACGCTACGCTGAGGGATAACGTCCTGTTTGGCATGGAGTACATCGCCAAGAGGTACCGGGCAGTCATGGAGGCATGCGCTCTCCTGGAAGATATTAGAGTAAGTCAAAAAACCCATAGCTCTTCATGTATTATTACCATTCTGTGCTTGCAGCACTGGAACAGCAAGTGTGCGTATTCCCTGTGAGCACAGAATCTTCCAAAACAAAGTACAAGCGCAGTAGGCCTACCCTGTGACAAACCTGTGTATAGGGGAAAAAACTTGCCTCAGTTAATGTAAAAAATATTAAATGTCGGTTCAGGTCGTGCACACAACATGCTAGTCAATGCTAGTCACAACGGGAAACTGGCCAACCCCGCTGTGTATCGCGCGGGATGCGTGTTAGACAGCTTGCATGAGCAGCGTGAATGCACTGTGTAGCGGGCGACGAGCCAAGTGCTACAGCAGGAAATTTCAGGGAAACGTGCTAGCTGGCTGTAACGCTTCAAGTACGAGTGGTACAACCTCGAAATAAATTCATGAAAATGGAACATAGTGTATCGGAAAGTGTGTGGACTTATGGCCAGTTTATTCCCAATGCATTTGTATTGTAGTAGCATTAGTGTATTAAAGTGTATGCGTGTGTGACTGGGCGTAGCTTAGCATCTAGGAGCTGCTGCGTGCATGGCATTGGTTAACAAAGCGCCATGGATAAAGTACATGCATGCCTGTTTGTACAGTGTGTGTGTACGTGTTTACCTGTGAGGTAGATACGTGACGCTCTAGGTGAGTTGAGCTTGGGACAGCGAGCAGAGAGGAAGAACATGTAGTTGGATTACTTGTGCTCTGCGTTTGTGAAATGCTTATGAAAAGTCGTATGGTCTGTGCTGAGGTTACGCTGGCATGTATAGCTGATGTGTTGCAAGTAAAAGCCTGTCTTAGCTGTACATTGCTATTACTGGCTTCTATATGGGTCGGAGACGTGGACGCCCCTAACTGAGGATAGGCGACGGCTTCAAGCCTTCAATATGAGGTGCCAACGGCACTTCCTTGGTGTCCGGTGGTCCGACTTTGTCGCCAACACCACTATCATGGGGACCACTGGTCTCGAGGATATCTGTGTTACCATCTTCGGTCACGTCCGACGGCTACCGGATGACACGCCCGCCCATGCCGCTCTTAAGCTGAGTGTCGACGCACTAGGGGGACTCCAGCCTGACAGTGCCTGGAAGAGACCCAGGGGCCGACCTCGCAACACCTGGGTGCACCAGCTAGAAGTTGACTACAAGACACGTGCACATCAGCTGTGGCAGTCTGCATCTGATCGCTTGGTCTTGGCGGCTCAACGTCCCCCATGATGGATACTGAGAATGATGATGATGATGATGGTTGATGCGAAGCAAGTACAAAGCTGTACTGTTGTACAGTGCTGATGCTGTTGTACATTGCTTATGCTGTTGTACATTGCTGATGCTTTGTTGATGCAGCTACGCATCGCTACTGCGAACAGTAAGTTTGGGTCATCTCCCCAATAAGAAAGGACTCGGATAATAAAACAATCATCCCAAATAAAAATCCCATTTACTGCACATTTGTTGATTATTGTTGAATAAATTATCATTGTTGCTTGAGGTTACCGACAGTGTTTTAAGGTGTCTTTGTTACAGGTTTAATGTGTAATTAACAGAATAATTAGCAATCATTCACAATCGGCGGTATTTTCTAACAAAACACACATGCACCCTTTGCCTTGAGGTTGCTCAAGTATGAGCGAAGGCTCAAAGGATCTCGTGGCCATCTCAAGTGCTGAGGCCGAAGTGCAACGACTGCGAATGGAAGCCCAATTTCTGCAGTGGAAGAAGGATCTCATTGCAAAGAAATTGGAGGCTGCCATGGAATTACAGTCGGCTCTTTCCTGAAGGGAGGGAACACGGGCACACCGGCTGAGAGTCGGCATGTGCTCCATTGGGTTGATTCCAATGTTGAGCTTAGGTTGCCTGAAGAGACTTCTGGGTATGTCTTTGGAGCAACAGGGAGAGTGTCGGGCGCAAGTGTGGTGCCTGAGTTGGCCCCTAAAGTAGGGAGGGAGGTGAGCTTTATGGAAAGTACACTTTGGAAAGGACAGAGCTCAGGGATATTTCCCCAAGAGCAGTCGATGCCTATTGCCAGGGATTCAGACAGCCCAGATGATGATCTGATGTCGTTCATCCCTGAGGGAAGTGGCATGGAACGGGGTAAGGTGAGTACCAACCTGTTCGTTCGTGATATGGGGATGGTGACCCCTTCACCGGTACATAGCGAACTGTTAAGTTTTGCTGCTCGACCAGTCGGGACAAAAAGCAACAGTTCATCTCATGAGGACAGCTCATTAGTGGGTCCTTGGACACTGAAACAAGAATCATGTGTCCATGGTGATGTGGGTCAGCAGGTTGAGCAGCAGAGGTTGCTGGACGAAAAGCCCTCCAAGTTGATGAGAGCTGTTGACTCTGGAAGGGAGCAGAGGTTGGTGACTTCAGAGGAAAGTCTGAAGTCTGTGGCCGTGTTGGTATAAGAGTAGTTGTTTACTCAGATCAAGGGTCATGGTCAGGGCAAGGGCGTGTCTTCTCCCAAGACCAGTGGCGTATCCAGAGGGGGCACTGTGCCCCCCCCCCCCCCCCCCCCGGCGGATTTTGTTTTTTAGGTGTATTACCAAATCCCAAAGGAGAAGAGACCTGTCTTGGAGACGGAAGATGCGCAGGTGAAACAAGTTGACAGTAGTTAATTAGCTGTGCCGGGCATAGCTTGGGTAGAGGTGCAAGTTGGTCAGACCATGCACAGACTGAGGGCAGTCTTTGCTAAAATGAAGTGCTGTAGTATCCTGAGCATGGATATTTATCTGGTGTCCACTTGTGAAAATTTAGATTTCCAGTTGAGAGAGTGGAGGCTTAGTGGTGAGCAAATCAATGGAAGTTGGTGGCGATTTAACCATGAAAGGTTTGGTATTGGCGCTATGGCCAGATCTTTGGTTGAGACTCGGGTCGCTGTTGTTCCGCTAAGGGGATGACAGTGATCTCCCAGTTTGAGGCCAGTTCAATTCATGATGAGTTGGACGTGGTGGCAAATAAGAGCAAGGAGTTGCCCGAGTATTTGCAAGATCTCTATAACAGGGGTACAGCCAATATAAAGGCTAGGTACCATGGGGATGCCCGGAAGTGTTTTTTAGACTTCCAGGATGTGTTGTCCAAGGGTGACCATGACAGTGGTCATATGGATGTGGTCAAGCACCACAAAGCGAGGACGAGGCAACTAACTGGTGAGGTCTCGTAGGGGAAACTTCAGGGTGGTGCGTTTGTGGCAAGGGGCGTGGCCGCCCAACCAATCGTGTCTCGAAGTGCTTTTAGAGAAGCACAGTTGCAGGATAGCACCATGAGTTGGCTCATAAGTTTGAAGAAGGAGGGTAATGGTCTATCTGAGTGGAAGACAGTTTCCCACTTGTCAACATCCTGCAAGACCTATTGGTCACAGTGGGACTAGTTGGAGGACCATAAACAAGTTTTGCATACGAGGTGCGGATTCCGGTTACGGAAGGTTCATACAGTGGCTATTGGAAGTGCCATCAAAGTTCCGTTTAGTGGTCACTTGGGGTCAGCAAAACTCTGGCCAAATTGAAAGCCAGGTACATGTACATCTGGCCAGTACGTCTGCAGGCATACGGTCATTCCTGCGAGGATGTGATGTGCGTGCCAGGAGGAGGTCGGCTGCTTAGAAAACGGTTGCACCTTTACAGCGGTTTTCAAGCAGTAGACTTGCTCGGACCAGTGCTCATCATGGACAATTGTAATTGTTAGGTGTTGTGTTTTTCTGTTTATTGCTTTATTCTGTTTCAGCTCGGGAATCTTGCATTTCTGCATCCTATGGTGAACAGGCGTCTGCAGATGCGGCAAGTTTGACATTGGTATGGTTATCCAGGTGGAACTAGGCGTGGATGACTAGATCGTCTAAGGAGGGACAAACTGGCCCAGGGCAAGAACGCACCAGAGGCCCATGCTAAGGAGGACCCCACCCAGGAAAAGACGGCGGCCATGTGTGAATGTATTTAGACCCAGACAAGGCTTGATGGCAACGGAGTCACCAAAAAGGAGCACGACAGGATGTACATGTACTTCAAGCAGGTCTAGTCTTGGTGGATGAGGATATAGCCAGCAACGTATTCAGAACTTCAGTGTTTTTAAAACAAACTTAATTAATTCAGTGTTACGTCTCAAAATTGTCCTTAAAATTTAGGGTTTTTATTTAAAACTGTGTTAATCAGTGCAAATCCTGTGAATATTTAATGACCAAAGTTTGATTCAGATTCTGTATAATCTTTCCCTGTGAAATTTTGTGAATATTTAATGAGCTCAAATTTAGTGGGCTTGTTCATGTACTTTTGCAAGTCAAGTCCCCTTAAACTGTGTACATGTACTATTGTGAATATTTAATGAGCTTTGAAATCAGCCCCCCCCCCCAGGTCTATATTGAATAATAAAGAAAAAGTTAAGGAATAGGCACACTTCGCTTTTATTTTTTTATGGCTTATGGAGTATGAGGTCATACCCTGCCATGCTCGGGCTCGTGTAACGGAAAGTGTACGGACTTGGTGCCAGTTCCCAATGCATTTGTATGGCAGTAGCTTTAGTGCATGCGTGTGTTACTGGGCGGAGCTTCATCCAGTGTTCTCCAATAAAGTACATGTACACAGATAAAGTACATGCATGCGTGTTTGTACAGTGTGCGTGTATGTGTTTACCTGGAAGGTAGATACGTGATGCATGTTCTAGGTGAGTTGAGCTGCAGACAGCAGGGTATGGTTATCCAGGCGGAGCTAGGCGTTGATGACCAGGTCGTCTAAGGAGGGACAAACCGGCCAAGGGCAAGAACGCAGCGGAAACCCATGCTAAGGCGGACCCCACCAGGAAAAGATGGCAGCCGTGCATGAATGTACTTTAAGATCCTGCCCACGAAGAGCATGATAGGGTGCACTTCAAGCAAGTCTAGTCTTGGTGGACCAGGATATAGGCCCTACCCAGTGAGCAACATGTTGAGAACTTGAGTGTTTTTTTTTAAACAAGTTTTATAAACGGTTAAATTCAGTGTACTTT